AATTTTTAGCTTTATTGGATACCGGAAAAGAGGTCGAGTGGCTTAAGGATCTCTTATATAAGATACCTTTGGGATCGAAGAATATCTCTTCAATACCAATCATGTGTAATAGTCAAGCTACGTTAGCAAAGGCATATAACGAGGTATACAATGGAAAGTCTAGACATATGAGTTTGAGACATGACTACATAAGGAAATTAATCAAAGATGGAATAATTTCCCTAAATTATGTAAGGTCAATTGAGAATTTAGCGGATCCTTTAACTAAAGCACTAAATAGAGATTTAGTGGCGTCTACTTCGACTAGGATGGGGTTGAAACTTCTTAACTAAAAAAAGGTCCACCAATGATGGCAACCCTATCTGTCATTACTTAAAAGGTAATCCACGGGTTCAAAGGGTAACAACAAGTCATTCGATATGTGGATAGTTGCAGCATTATTTAAATCCGCAATGACCCTATTCTAATTAAATAATGTTGGTTGTTATTGAAGTGAGGGTTGAGCTTAAAACTCTTAATGAAGTTCAGTCCTAAAACATAAGTACCTCTAAAAGTAACAAAGGTACCGAAAGAACTTTACCTAGACTAACTTCGAGGTGGTGCCACCTCAATAGAGAGTTGAAGTTTCTCTCTTAAAAGTTTGTCGAATAGAATGAGTGCAAGACCATAAAAGCGCTAAGCGAGTTGAGAAATTTGAAAACACGTGATACTTATGAGTGTGTTTTTACTGGTATTGTCACAATGAATAATTGGTTCAAAACTTCTATACTACCTCTAATTCCGACTTTACTTTATTTGAATTATACTATGGTTAGATTCAAATCGAAAGATATATAATCCTTATGCATAAGTGTCTTCTTTTTGAATATGTGATCTTATTGATTTTGAACTAGTGGAGGATTGTTGAATATTTGTTCAAAATCAATGGAATGAAAATTGACTAAGAGTCCGTTTGGTGCACATTTTTTAGATGAAAATGCATTTTAAACATCATATCGCGGGTCCCCCATTAGAGTGTAGAAGTCAAAAATTGTGTGCTGATGTGACGGAAAAAATGCATTTTTGGCTCCAAAAATGCGTACCAAACAGGGGCTAATTGTTGGACTCAATTGTGGAATTGGTATAATCAAAAGAAATTGAAAAATGAAAATTTTGATTTTTGCCTATGCGTACGCACATGCTTATTTTTGTGCGTACATGAAATGTGCTTTGACAAAATCAGAATTGATTTTGCTTCTACTATGCGTACGCACGGTTTATACTATGCGTACCATAGTGTTAAAAAATAGCCGTTAGCTGATTTTTCAATTTGAAACTTAGGAGCCGTTTTGGATTAAAAGTTGTCACTTTTCATCTTGTTTTGGCACCATTTCGTGATGTATTGATTAAGGCCTATAAATAGGTCATGAATGATCAATACAAAGATTATTACAAACAAGAAATACATACATTGTTCCACAATTAATCAAATCCATGCTATAACTCATATTCATTTCTTCTTTATTGTGTTCATCAAGTTTTGACTGAAAATTTCTCGTGCTTTGTTATTTTCCACATCAAGGCTTGTTAAAATCCTTCAAACCATTTGCCATAACACTCTTAAGTATCTGGAGAGAGGGCAAATATAGTTTGAGGACAACGATCCCTTGTTCAAGCCTTAAATTCGTTCTTGACGTATTTCGTGATTTCTATTCATTTTCTTTCTATAATTTTATTGTTGTTTCTTCTCCTATCCCTTATTTTCCAACACTAATAACATTGAAGACAGTTGATACAAGAAGTGTCTATTTGTTTGTTTGACAAGTGTCTTGTCACTTTGGTTTAAACTTGATTGTGAATGAAGGGTATATAACTCCTATGACTAATGTTTGTAATTGTTTGTGTAATAGGTATCTTAATTGACAATCCACAACTTTATTCTTAATCTTGTTTTACTATACTTGGTTCATATCGAGTACATGTCTTATTCTCCATGAACGAAGTACATCTTTTTGCATTTTTTTTCTACGTTATTCAATCGCAGTCGAGCAAGGGGAGAAAATAATCACAATGTGCATCCTTGTCGCCTTGCTCGTCCACCATTGAAGAGGAAATGCCTAACCCGACCAGGATCAAGGAACGTACGAAAAACCAAATAAATGATTTTTGTGCATTTCTTATGCCTTATCACTGTCTAGTATTGTACCGTCTAACTTTTTTATAGGCATCTTAACGTTTATATTCTATCTATTAACAGTGTTAGTGGTATCATGGTGGTTGTGATAATAAAGGGTGATTATATTCTACATAAACAGTTAGTTAATTCAATCCATCATTATAAATATCCCATTGAAATATAATTAATTCACTGAAAACAAGCCTAAAGTAAACTTAATTACCTGTAAAGGAGCATGGGAAAATTCATCGAGTATTGTCACTACAGTCTGCATTCCAACCTGGTACAACTGATAGTGGAGTGAAAAGAATTAGTTTTCTTCATCTCAAATTCACTATAAGAACCCTTTTCGGCATCCTCCCTTTTCACATACTCAGATTAAGATCACTTATTTCTGAGAAAAATATTCTTGAAACGCTTGAGAAGAATCTGTTCAAGAATGGAGGGAAGAAAAATGGCTGTATTTTTCACTGTTTATGTTGTGGTCATGATCCTGGGTTTTGCAGAAAATGGAGCCATGGCTGCTTCTGAAATTGTTGGAGCACCTGCACCAGCACCTGGAATGGAGAGTGCTGGAGTGGCACTGTATGTTCCTGCTGCAATGGTTGCCATAACCATTGCTTCTTTGGCTGCTATGTTCTTTTGAACTTTCTAATGTTTCTGGCTTATGTGTAATTTAGTGACTGATGGGATAAGATTAAGGTAGAAAAATGAGTTGAAAATTTAACTACTATTCTTTCCCGTACTCTATTACCTAGAGTCTGTTTAGGAGTGATTTTAAGAATTGATTTTTTAACCTTTAAGAGAAAAGTGCGATCCACCTGTGCAAAAAAAAAAAAGAGTCAAATATGACGGTTGGAATGATGAAATAACGGTCAAAAAAATCAATTTTTTGGAGGAAAAATCAATCCCAAACAGGCTCCTATTATCATGTATTAGCTGTCTCTTGAATAATCAATTATTGTTGTTTCGTCGACTTGAAATTCGGATTCATTTTAGTTGGAATTAGTGTCATTGAGAATACTAAAATTGGAGCAACAAATATAAGCAAATTGTAGAACCAACAAAAAAAAAAAATAATAAATTATAACACAAAAATATAAATATTGAAAATAAATTATATCCCACTATCAATGAGTACGCTGGAATCTATTCAAACTGAGATGTGTAATACCGTTTGATGAAATATTATGTCACAATTGTTCTCACTTTTTATTTTTATTTATTTATTATTATTTTTTTGAACTATTGAAGAACTTGGAATCAAGGAAAGTGGACAATATAGGACTAAGAATTTGAAAATTGAAATTGAATATGGGCAAATGAATAGTGGCGAGAAATGTGATAAAAAAAAATAAAAAAATTAAAAATTGAATCTAGGTTGAATTAAGGGGTATGAAATTGAAGTTAGAAATGAAATTCATGGCATCGACTATGGATATAGGCTAGGCTACTCGTTAGTGCAATTGGGATTGAACTATATTGATTTGATGTGCACATTTTTCAATTGGGCTGGGCCAACTGCTCTTGTACGTGTCTCTTGAGGGCCGAGAATAATGTCATCTAGTAGGGGATGTAACGGGATGAGTATGGAATGGGATAGATCACCCCATACGTGTTTAAAGAGGATAGCGCGAGCTGGGGCGAGTTAGGGCAAGTCCCCTGCCTCGTTTATTTATTTATTTATTTTTGTTTTTTACTTTTTTTTTTATATCTTTAATAAGTGAATATTATTACTCTTTTTTTTTTTTTTAAATTTGTAAAAACAATTCATCTTATCTTTATAAATGATGATATATTTTTTCTTTTTATTTTATACAAAGTTTAAACTTGAAATTAACTTTAAACAAGATGGGATCATATTTCCTGTACTTGCTTCGGGACAACGACCCTCGATGCCCCGCTTACCTGACTAGACAGATAATCATGGGGCCCATGGTATTGGGTTAAACATATATATATATATATATATATATTATTATTATTATTATTTTTTTTTTTTTTTTGGGGTTGCCATTTCTAGTGTCCAGATCTAAACATGTAAATTATGGAAATAAGACGTTTGATTTGTTGTTTTTTAATTGTTTTTAATTTTCAAATTTTTTGAAAAACAAAATTAAATTTATAACATAAAACTTCAAATATATTTTTGAAGTTTTGAATATTTTCAGTGAAAACACTTAAAACGTGAAAACACTTAAAACATGAAAATGGACGTTTAAATAAAAATCTAAATTGAGAAATTCTAAAATATAATTCTAAATTTCTTAAAAAATAAAAATTCTGCAAGATTATATATAAATGAGCACAAACTTAACTACTAGCCTGCGTCATTAATTTTTTTTCCTTTGTTTTGCTCACTTAATATATTATTTGTTTCCATTTAACTTTTTATAGCGAAAAAATATTATAAGATTTACAAACTTAAAATATTTATTTTTTCTGAACTCATTTTCAACTACATATTTTCCAAATAAAATAATTTTACACATAAATCAAAAAAATTTCCTACTTTTTTAACCACCACACAGTTTCCAACAAATTACCACTAGAAAATCTATCTCGCCCAAAAAATAGGGCTCAAACACACCCATAATATATTAACATAAATTTGTTCTATTTTATTAAATAGTCAATGTAATAGAATAAAATATCATAAAACAATTTCCCGAAATTTCAAACTAACATACTTTTCAGTTTCTTGTTCAACTCAAAACACTCTCAAAATGAAAAAACTAAGAAGGAATTCAAAACTGAAAACTGAAACTCAAACCAAACGAACCCTAATTTATCCATACTCATCATCTTTATCAATTTTACTTGGAAGATGCTTGGATGAGAATTGTAAAAAAATCATCTACGTTCTTCAACTTGACATGTTTCTTTACAAAACCAACTGTAAAGGGTAGAACCAGAGAGAAGTTTACTCTCAAGTAATCAAAAGTAATAATAGTAAAAGGACTAATCCTAATGCAAAAGCAGAAGAGCATAATGAAAAAAAATAAAAAAATTGTTTCCTTTGGTGATGGAAACAATGCTTCATCTTGTTGCAATTTTACAAACCCCCAAAGTATCAACTTCGTATATGCTTAATACTTCTGCAACTTCTGTTTGTCCTGCTCAAATAAAGGCGGCAAACACGGACAATTTTCCGAATATATTACCATCTGCAATGCTCAAAACAAACGGTCTGAGGAATAAAGAATATATCTTAACTCTAGACTATAAATATCAAGTGTTTCTCATTCTCATTTATCACCAGAAAGGAAAAAGCTCTCTTCCCAAATTATTAACAATCCTTTCTTCTCAATATTTAACAGATATGGGTATCACCACATTCACAGAAGAGCACACTTCCCCAGTCCCTCCATCAAGAATCTTTAAGGCCTCCATTGTTGATTCTCACAACTTAATACCAAAGCTGATGCCACAAGCCATTAAAAGCATTCAGATCATCCAAGGTAATGGAGGAGCCGGGAGTATTAAGCAGATCAACTTTGCTGAAGGTTAGATGCAAACTACAGACACTCTTGGCATTAATAAGTTAGACAAAAAGATAAGGGATTTTATTTTTATTTTTTTAAAGAGCCCTTTTTTACAGTCAAGGTGACTGAAAAAAAAAAGGATTATATATAAAGTTTTCAGTTCAAATACCTTCTTTTGCACTAAAAAGTCAATTATAGCTATATTCAGAAAGGGTCCTTCACCACCATTTCCCCTTCCTCTTCTTAATTTGGACCCCAGAAGCTACACAGGTGGTCACAGGGGAGATAGGTAAGAAAGAACAGTGGATGGGATGGGGTGGGGTGGGGTGGGGTGGGGAAGAAAGAAGGGCTAGTTCATTTGCTCTCTCCAGCATGTCCTTCCCAGATATAATAAACCTAAAAGACAATATTTAAAGCTAAGAAACTGTGTTCTATGCAGGTGGCAACTTCAGCTCTGTGAAATACCATATTGATGAACTCGATGAAACGACATACACATATAATTACACATTACTTGAAGGTGGTGCCTTGACAGAAGGGCTAGAAAAGATCACGTATGAGATCAAGTTTGAGCCTGCACCCAATGGTGGTTCAATCAATAAGGTGACAAGCAAATACTACACTAAGGGTGATTTCGCGCTCAAAGAAGAGGAAATCAAGACAGGAAAGGAAAGGGTGTTGGGAATGTACAAGGTTGTGGAAGCCTATCTCCTCCAAAACCCTGATGCCTATGTTTAAGATTTCCTGTTTCCAAATGTGACTTCAAAAGTTCTCCATCAGTCCTTTGTTTGTATGGCACTGGCTTGTTCTGGTTTGACAATAAGGATCTTCCAATATATGATAAAGCAATAAATGTAACTTTTGATAGCTTTCTTATGCCTAGAAAACAAAGTCTTATAATTCGAGGATATTTTTGATATATGTAACTATATTGTACAATAGCCAAAATATTGGCTTTATTTTCTTCTTAATACAGCCCAGCTCTTCCATCCATCTTTCCAATAAAACATGCTGGGAATATTTCTTAGAGTAGTGCTATTTAGCATCAATTGTATTAAAAACACAAGTTTATGTAATATTAATGTAGCATTAAATAAGAGGTATAATCAAATGAATCACTTAATTCTACTTTTCATTAAGTATATCACTTATAGTTACCTAGACTGGTGTTTTAGCACCAGTGGTGTTAAATAAAATTATTCTATTTCTTATGTGGCAAAATGAATGGAATTTGAATTGTTTATGATTCAAAAAGCAAAATAGGATTAGGGAACTCAATCCAAAAATAATTAGGATTAAGTGCTATTTTAGAGCATCTAAAATATATATAATCTTTACTGATAGATCTTATTTACCCCATAGGACCAATAATTCTGAATTATACAAAGATTTAAATGCACTCTTTGAAAAATGAAAAACAAGAAATGTCCTAAGTTTTGTAAACATGCAGAGATATACATCCACTACTGGGAAAAGAAGCGAAATTCACCAACATCAGCCATTGAAGTTTCTATTGATCAAGGGGAAAAATAGTGAAGATTATCCTCAATTTTTCTACAATAAATAGAGAGTCTCTATATGCTGGTGGAGCAAACTAGCATGGTGGAGAAGCCGTTCAACAAAGATTCACTTGGAACTCATTTGAGTAAGATTGATCTTGCAATAAGAAACATGTTTTGAGTAGGATCAGGATCAGGGCTTGAATGCAGAAAAGGCCACGACAGAATTGTGCCCACCAAATCCAAATGAATTTGAAACAGCTGGATAGGATAACACAAAGAAAATTAAAGTAAATCTTGAGGATCTGACTTATAATCAACATTTTGCTTTAATATTGATAATATCCACATAGAACAAGAGATATGGTGGTTGGACAAGTAAATTATCTTACCAACATTGACTTCATGCTGCTGTTTTTTGTTTGCAACAGTCTCAAACTCCACAGCAGGCTCGGGGTTCTGCATTAATAATTAGAATCTATTAATAATCTTGAACATCAAATTCATGTTTAAATGATTAAAAAGTAAAACTGTAAGCCCTGACGAGCTGTACGTACTTGAACTGAAATTGCATGTTCAGGAAAAAAATATCAACCATAAAACATGAATTTGAACTTACGAATTGATTTATGGTTGGATGCAGCCATCCTGTCATAATGGCTTTCACTGTTGCAATTGCTTCCAGACCTCCAGCAGCTCCAAGACAGTGCCCTATCATTGACTGGGAGAAAATAGAAGTAAGAAGTTAAAAATGAACCGAAAATAGTCACTGCATAATATTTTTAGCTATATATTCCACTCAGAAGTACAAGAAAGGAAATTGGTGTGTATTTGTTTTACAGAGAAAGAGAAGAAGTGGCGGAGGGCAGCTCACCTTAGTTGCATTCATTTTGATCTCCGAAGTGTTCTTGAAAACTTTCTTAATAGCATTTACCTCAGCTAGGTCACCTACTATGGTGGAGGTTGCATGAGCATTAATGTAGTTAACCTGAAAAGGAATATGGACTCCAACCAGCTAATTAATTGTGTCAGAGATTTACATACATTTGGACCCTAGAGAAATAAAATAAATGTACTCCTGACTCTAACATAATAAGCATTTCATCTACAGTACTGCATGTGTGGAATGTCTAAGACCAAGTTTGATTTTCTTATTTGATGATTTCTCAGTTCACAAGATAAATTATCTCAGTCATCCAATTGATCAATGATCAGAAACATAAAAGCATTAGTATTAAATTTGGGTTCTCCCGGGATATTTCATGGTTTCCACAAGATCTTTGAAAGCTCTAATTCAGGACATGAACTTAGATTCTTAGGAGTTCTCCGTCTCTTTCGAGCTTGAGGAACCAAATGTGGATGTGGTGAGTGCATAAGCAAAAGTATATTATGCAACACGTAGCGAGTACAGGGAGTGCGTGCCCGGTAAAAAGACAACAAATCAAGAGGAGCAGATGAGTGGCATTGATAAAGGGTGTCAGGATACATGGTTTACGTTGCATAGTTTAGTACTACGGAATGCAATATCAAGTGCTCATGCGTGATAAAATGTTATTAAAAAGGAATTACCTCCTCAGGTGACACGCCAGCATCTTCAAGGGCGCTCTGGATGCATGACGAGACGCCAAGTCCATCAGCTCTAGGATCAGTCATATGATAAGCATCACAATTTACTGCACCTCCCAAGTACTCTGCAATTATAGGTGCATCTCGTTTCATCGCATGATCCAAACTTTCCATCACCTGTTAAGAATGTTGAGGAATTTCTTTTAAGAACTTTAACTTTCATTTGAGTCTAAAGTCGAATGTAAACTCTTGAAGAAACAACCCTCTCTTTGGCTCAAATAATTTGTTAACAAACAAGCCAAGCTTACCAAAATTCCAGCACCTTCACCCATAACAAAACCATCTCGATCTTTGTCCCAAGGCCTAGAAGCAGTTTTTGGATCATCATTTCTTTGAGACAAAGCTCTACATGCAACAAAACCTCCCAATCCTATAGGAATAATGGCAGCTTCAGTTCCACCAGCGACCATTATATCTGCCTCACCTCGACGGATGTGATTTGCAGCCGCATAGAAGCAATAATTTGAGGTAGCGCAAGCAGTTGAAATCGAGTAATTTGGGCCCATCAAACCAAGATCAATTGCAAGTAAAGCAGATGCCATGTTTGTTATAGCATAAGGTATGAAAAACGGAGTTATTTTCCTGTGACCTTTTTCTATTAGAGCCTGAACACCATCAGAAAAAACTGTAAGACCACCCATTCCTGTTCCAACCAGAACACCAGCTCGAACCTTATCAATCTGCAATAATAAAACCAAGCAATTAAGAGGGATTGAATTACATCTTCAGAAGAAGTAAAAAAAAAAATAAAAAAAATGGAAGAAGAAGACAACACAGTTAACAACTTAACCAATGGAAGCAGCAAAAACTTCTTGATATACAATATGAATTTTCCAAGATTAGCACTGGATGAAAATTCAATATATATCTGCAGATCAAACAGTAATGACTTCAATTCCAGAGTGTTCTAATTATCACTTTTGCAAAGATTTGAGTAACTTTATAAAGAGCAAGGAGCGCGTCTTTATAATGAGTTCAAATTTGTTAACTACGACTCTACGAGGGAAATCACTTAGTACTTGGGACACCAACAAAATAAAGAGTTAGCCATCTCAAACATCATCTAAGATTTTAGTAGACACTTGTACAATATTTCAAGACCTTTCACACCAACACTCAGAAATAGCAAACTGAAAAAATTGTTAAGTGATAAATTCTTCAAAATTCAGAACCCCGCAACCAAAAACATTTATTGACTATTGTCTTTAAGTGTTTTCACCAATCTAAAACTGCTAATTACGAAATAATTACTCAAAATTCAGCATTAAACCACGATCAAGAACCCAATTAAACCTCAGACCAGCTCAATAATCCGACAAAACAATCATGTAAATCTCAAAATTACCTTGTCAAGTCTACCAACCCCAAGATCCGCGTTTTCTAGAGCTTTTTTGCCAGCTACAATGCAGTATCTGAGACAATCATCCAGCCTCCGGTCGTTCTTCCCATCAATGTATCCCTCGGATTTGAAATCGCGAATTTGCCCCCCGAATCGAGTAGGGAATTTCGATGCGTCGAAGCGGTCAATTAGAGTGATTCCACTCTCACCAGCAAGCAGTTTTTCATAGTATGCATTTACGTCGTTGCCGAATACAGAAACGAGTCCCATACCCGTGATGACCACGCGTTTCTTGGGATCAGTCTCGCGTTTGGGGGCCGAAACTGTAGAGGCAGAGGCGGAGGAGGATATGGTGAAGGGGTGTTTCTTGGGTTGTTTGGCATTGTAAGTGGGGAACAATGAGCCGGCGGTGGAAGGAGGTCTGCGGAGGGGGTCGAGAGGTGAGGGGTGGAAGACGGCGAGTTGGGTGGCTTGCATGGTGGTGGAAGATCGGAGTTTCGATGGAAACAATGCTGGCTGGGCGGGGTGGAAGTGAATGGAAGTTGAGGTTGTTGAAGTACAGTGCCGTTATAGAGCTGCCACACTCTGTTTATTATGCTTAAAAATTTAAGTTGGTTTTGAAACCATTTTTCTAAATAATTAAAATTTTTAAGGAAATAGGTTTTTCGCATTAGATTAATGCTAAACGAACAGGGAAAATAAATAGGAAAAAGATAGATTGATGTGGCGATCCATGATTGAGTATTTTTATGTTGTTTTTTTTTTCCAATTTTTAATGAAAATCTATCAAGTATTGTCTGAAAATAAAATTCCGTCACAATGTAGCATGATTGTTCGCATGATATCACTTAGGGAAGCTAGTAATAATTCTTACCAATATGTTTCTCGAAAAGTTAAAGAAAGTAAGTCACGAGTTAGCTTTACTTACCTTTCAAATTGATGAGTGTATTTCAAGAACTCGTTGTATGTCATAATTCTTGGAACCAATTATTTTAGTGAGTATAGTAACACGACTAAGGGTGCTTTGACATGGCTTTCGAAAAGTCAAAACTTACTTCTGAAAGTAAAAAGTTTTTTGCGAACATGTGTTGTATAATTTCTAGAAGTATTTTAGCTGAATAAAAAAGTTTTTAAAGGAGTTCTTTTAAGAAACACAAGCCATGCTAAACGTGTCATGAATAGAGTTGCAATTTTCCTTCTGCTTCTTCTTCTTCTTCTTTTTTTTTTTTTTTTTTTTAAAAGGAGTGATTTAAATAAGTTTTACTACTTCTTTAACATGAGCATTTTTCTCTCGTTTTTTCTTCCTTTTTTTTTCTGGCAAGAAATGTGTTTCTTATCACAAAATTAAAAGGGAAATTTCTGTTTTATAGGAATATTGGTGATCTAATTTTTATTACTTGAGAAAAATTCAACTGTGGAATTGCTTGTTGGTTGTTGACTGATAAATGGGGAAGTGATATTTGTCTCTCTACGATAACGGTTGATCATTAATGGTATCACAATTTTTTATTCTCTTAATCAAGGGCGGACCCATCACCCAAGGGGTCCCTAGGGTCACTTGACCCTCCAATTTTTTCAATTTGATTTTTTTTTCGCCGTCTTGATTTTTGGGCTCATTATGAAATATCAAACGAAGTTGAATTATTACATTCTTAATATAATTTTAAAGTACTCACAGTCTAGTATTTCACGTCATTAATGTTGTGAGAAATGGTCAATCGTAGCAAATGTTATACGCTAGCTATATCCATAAATTTTCTATATCCTCTCGAAACTCATTTCGAAAACTATATGATAAATATATCGAATGATTTAAATGAATATAGAAAATAGTTAAACATACGTCAAACGTGTATGCTAAAAAGAGACGTATAACTCGTCTTTTAAAAAAAATCAATTATTTTATTAATATTTATCAATATAATTTAAGTCATTTTATTAGGAAATTTTATAAGTGGTATGGCGTCAAATTTAATTTTTTTGACGTAAAAATTCTTAATAAAATTTTTATTAATTCATAGGGGTTATAAATTGTTATACTATTTTTTCATCTTGAAAAAAAAAAAAAATATATATATATATATAAAATTCAATCAGTGTCTTTTTTCTTTTTTTCTTTTTAATTATTGTTACCTCTTTCTTTAGATCAATTAATTTTTTTTTTCAAATGACGTCAAAAATTTTATTAGGACATTTATTAAATTATTTTTCTAAAAAATTTATTGAGAGGAAAAGTAACAATAATAAAAAAAAATCCCTAAAAATGATCCAATTTTAGTATAATAGTGTATAACCCATATAAAGTAATAAAAAAAATTTCGTCTATTTTTTTAAAAATTTGATTGTGGCCCCTTAATGTAAAATGTCTGCATCCGCCCCTGCTCGTAATTTTGCCTTTCTATCATTTATGACCTTCATTTTTAAAAAAAATATTTTTTCTTAAATTTATTTTTAACTATATGTTTTACGAAATTCATACTTGTTCAATCATATATTTCATCAACTTTTATAAAAATCTATTAAAAATTGAGGAAATTACATGTATTAATCATTTTTCATAATAACTCTTATATTACATTTCTGATTTTTTTTATACCAATTTTACTGTCTTTTTTTGTAAAGTAAAAAATGAAACCAAAAAAAATACAACTTTCACATTAAAATGAGAATTGCATGGCACTTATCACTCCGTCAAACATGCCCTATTTACTAATTAGATAAGGCAAATCTCTTACAATTCCAGACCAAAATCAAAATCCCCAAATTGAAGGTTCAAGAAAATTACAAATCAACCCACGGACCGCTCATATTCAACACCCAAATCGCGATATCTGCAGTTTACATTTCAAAAGGCTGTAGAAAATAATTCCGGCACGAATGGTAGATTGCAGTTGAATGGATATGAGTTTTCATATATTTAGAATTGTTTGATGTCGATAAAAGATTGAATTTGAATCATGCAGTGAGAAAATTCCATCCGTGGTTTCAGCCCATTCAAGGATTCCGGTTACAATCTATTAAGGGCCGTGCTACATGTATATAATAATTTACCAACAGATGATGTAGTGAAATTTAATTGGATCAAAATCTCATCAACTGAATGACTTTCGCACTTACATTTTGACTCATCGTCATTATGTAAAACATTATGTAAATAATTATGTACAAGAAGCATTTTCCATCTTTTAATTGACAAAAGTTTCTTAGTATTTTTTGAATTTTACAATTTTTATTGTAAAATGTGAAATATTATATATATTTCATATACTTTCCTAATTTTTTCCGTTAAAAACTTGTTTTTTAACCAAACCAAACACGAGCTTAGTATTTAGTTGGGTCGCTCGATTCTTAGCATGTGTTAATGTCGTCATATTGTATAACCCTATTAAATTTTAAGAGAGAAAAAAAAAAGAAAAGAAAAAGCTTTAATTTTTTTTCGTATTGTTCCTTCTCGACTAATATTATATATCAAATATGCACTAAGAGCTTTAAGATGTAGCGACCTAACATGTTAGGTGTGTTTTGATTGTTCCTATGCAACTTGGACCAAATAGCATGCAATGCATAACCAACCAAAGTCGTTAATGCCTTAGAAACAAGTTGAACAGTGATGGATGCTAATTGTATTAATGAAATGAGAAATGGTTGACATATTTAAAATAACTCTCTATTTATTTATTATTATTATTGTTATTATTATTTTATAACGGGAGAATTCGCAACCGGTAGCATTCAAGTGTGCACTAATCTGCAAATCACGTCAACCAGGTAAATTGCACTAGGTAAGCTCTGTACGACAAGCTTGACCGAGAAAGTGTTGATAGGGAGAATCGAACTCGTGACCAAAGGTTTTCATACGCACCTACTCCATCAACTTGGCCACCTCATGAGGGACTAAAATAACTCTTTATTACGCCCCCCAGGGCACATCCAAGTTGGCGGAACAATCACATTGGGGGGCTCTGGAATCAAATGTGGGGAGTTCGATTCCTGGTTGGAGCAGCCAAGTGATGTAATAACCAGAGGAAGGGTTGGAGCAGTTTGATGATGTAATAACCATGGAAGAGGGTCCCTTTGGGGAAGGAGTAAAAGCCATGTGGGAATCTGGGAACCAATAAGGGCACAACCTGCGATTTACCTCCACTAGTCACTGAGGGGCCGGGGGCTAGAGGTCCAGGATTTAGTCTGGCTAAGCTGGGACACTTGGGTTATCAAAAAAAAAATAAAATAAAATAAAAATAACTCTTTATTACTTTTAAATTGAGTGGTACGTACATAAAAAAGAAAAAAAAAAAAAAAGAAAAGAAAAAGAATTTTCCTTCCTCTTTTCATCCACTCATTATCATCCACCCAAATTTTCACCATTCATTATTCAATGGTCAAAATATGGTAAAAAGACATTCTACCACCATGCATTGTTTCCTTCCCCATTTGCTTGGGTAGATTTCTTAGAAGGTCAGGTAACGCAGTCACAACCCTGAAAGGCGGAGGAGGACGAGGAGGTGGCGGCGGTATCTTTTGGTGGAAAAAACCCATAGATAAAGGGTAGAATGGCACAAGACCTACTCGATCTTGATAAACTAAACAGGACCATATTATGTTACGCCGAGACAGTTTACCGGATTAATGGCGTATGGGAAGGACCTGATCCATTGACACCCTTTATACCTCTCTTCTTCATTCAGATAACCCTTGCCATCATGTTTACTCGTCTTCTCGTCTTCGCCCTAAAACCCTTCAACCAACCTTCTATTATTGCAGAAATTCTCGTAAGTATGTTTTTGTTGGATACGTATTTGTGCATGTGCGCGTGATATACACATTTTAGCCCTATGAATTCTGATTATTTTATTTAATGCATGCATATTTATATCAATGGAAAAACACATAATGTGAAAGTCACAATACATACCGTTGCTGATTGACGAAATTCTAATAATGTTGGTGTAGAGTGGTATAATTCTGGGACCTTCTGTATTTGGAAGAAACAGTGGATTCAGAAAGCTGATGTTCCCAAGTTACACTTACAAAGTGCTGGAGCCAATGGCACATTTGGCCCTTGTATACCATGCCTTCCTTGTGGGATTAAGAATGGACATAAAAGCAATTCGACGCACCGGATCCAAGGCTCTTAACATTGCTGTAGCCGGAACTATAATCCCTTTCTCTCTAGGTTCCACCTTATATTTCGTCTTCCGAGGCAATAAAACAGGTTTCATTTTCTGGGGGGCTGCCCTTACCGTCACCGGCTTCTCGGTACTAGCAGAAATTCTTGAAAAGCAAGAAATAATCAACACTGAAATTGGTAAGACTGCCATGGCCTCTGCCCTAATCAACGAGGTCTGTGCATGGTGTTTTCTGGCGCTTGGGCTTGCCATCACCGGCGCCCCCCGAAACATTCACTGGTCATTGCTATGTACCATTGTTTTTGTACTACTCAGTGTCTATTATATCCGGCCTTTTCTCAATTGGGTCATCCGGAAAACACCAGAAGGGCAAGGATACAGTGAGTTCTATATATGTTCAGTGCTCACTGGAGTGGCCTTCTCTGGAGTCATCACTGATGCATGTGGAACACACCCCATGATTGGTGCCTTCGTCTTTGGACTTGTGATACCTAGTGAAGTTCTTGAAGCTGCACTGATTGAAAGGCTTGAAGACTTTGTCGCTGGAATTTTTATGCCGGTGTTCTTCATGGTTTGTGGGCTGAGAACTAATGTTGATACCGTCTCTGACCAAACTTCTTGGATCGTGGTGGCATTTGTTTTAATTTTAGCCTGCACTGCCAAGATTCTGTGCGCTCTTGCCGTTTCCCTCTTCAGTAACATTCCAGCCAAGGAAGCAGTTGCGGTTGGAGTATTGACAAACACCAAGGGCGCCATGGCAATGATCATCCTTGAAGCTGGACAAACACAATTGGTACTTCCTCCAACTCTATTCAGATAAATTTACCATAATGAATGGATAAATACGAAAGCCACCAGCTTTCATTGCCAACGGCAATCAGTAATAATCTTTGTTTTGACCAGGCTCTAAACACGCAAACGTACTCATTAATGGTGATTGCAATCCTGTTAATGACGATGGTTGTCATGCCTGCCACAATCACATATCGTCCATCTAAGAATTTGGTACCATATAAGCGCAGGACAATAGAGAAGGCAAAATCAGATGAAGAGCTCCGAGTCCTTGCGTGTATTTACAATACGCGTCATGTCCCTTCCATTATTAACCTTCTCAGGGCTTCAAATGCCACGAACAGATCCCCCATAAGAGTGTTTGCTCTCCAACTAGTTGAACTCATTGGACGTGCCACTGCTAGTCTGGTTGTCCATAGCAACCGCAAAGTGGGCCCCAGAAATCCCAGCGACGTAGAAGCACAAGCAGATCATATTATAAGTGCTTTTGACAACTATGAACTACGATCAGACGGCGTTACCACCCAAACACTCACTGCCCGGTGCGCTTACTCCACCATGGATGAAGATATTTGCAATGTTGCAAAGGACAAGCGTTCAGCATTCATAATTATCCCCTTTCACAAGCAACAAACTCTTGATGGTGAAATGGAGGATATCAATCCTGCCATCCGGAGTGTTAATGAAGGCGTACTAGAAAACGCACCTTGTTCTGTGGGTATATTGATTGATAGAGGACTTCAGGAGTCAAATGATCATGCGCGCAATATTGCCATGTTGTATTTTGGGGGTCCTGATGACAGGGAAGCATTGTCTTATGCTTGGAGGATGGCAGAAAATTCAAATATCAGCCTAACAGTAGCAAGGTTTACCCCTAGTAGTGATGCAGAGGAACTGGATCCTGTAGAATCTGTTGCAAAAACCCACATGACTCTGCAAATTGACAGTGAGAGAGAGAACCTGCTAGATGAGGATTACCTGAACAAGTTCAAGATTGCAACCGCCAATGACAAATCAATAACATACGTTGAATTGATGTTAAATGATGAAGAAGAAACTGTTAATGCAATAAAATCAATGGATAAACGCCATCACGATCTTTTCATTGTTGGAAAAGGGGCAGGCATTATGTCACCTTTGACAACAGGTCTAGCCGACTGGTGTGATTGTCCAGAGCTGGGGCCAATTGGAGATCTTCTGGTCACATCAGAATTTGAATCTGCATTTTCGGTGCTGGTGGTGCAACAGTACATCAGGTCAAACAAGAGGGATGGATCAGAGAGGTCTGCAAGCTCAGTGGACTATGGGCAAGAGATGGAACTGAGGCCATCAGTAAGCGGAAGCGATGGATTTGAATCCATCACCAGTTTCACAACAAGAGATCAAAATAACCGAATGCCCTTACACGATTAGGTTTTCTGCATCATTTTTAATCAAACATGTGCATGTTGGCTTCAGATTTTGTAAGACAATTTCGTTTCGCTTCATAAAGACACTATCTATATAAATTGATTCTTCCAACTATAAAAGATTCATAAAAAATTATGTGAACTAGTAAGGTTAAACAACTTAAGCTTCAGAGGTAAGTTACTCTGCCGCCTAGGAATACCTGTTGCAATTTTAGTCGAAAAACCCAGTCAGAAGTTTTAACGTAGAGTGAACCCTGCACTCCCAGTCTCCAATATTTGGAATTGACAAAATCTAGTCTCCATAAATACAGACATGCAAACAGTGATATTACTGAATTCTATATAGTTATTGCTCACTTGAGAAGTTATTAGTTAGTTCTAAATACACACACAAGAGGGTGTAAACAGATTGTTACTCTTGGAGATCTGACTGAAGGCTGAAGTTAAGCGCAAATGCTAATGAAGCTGGAACGTAACTTGGGGTTCATGACCTACAACAGAGTTTTATGTTTAGATGAACCTTATGAGTGACTTGATTCATTGATACAAACAACTTAACCCAGAAATTCACCGATGATATTTGAATACGCACAATATTGAAATACTGGCCAGGCAAAACAAAATGGACAAGCATAGTAAAATCTAATGTATGAAAGAGTGAATTCACTCAAAAACACAAATGAAGTTGAGATATAACAACATATTTGTCTTTGGAGATCAAATCACTTGCTAATCTGATCTATCTTATTCTGTATAAGTGTGTAGAAATGCAGGTCAAAGGTGTCAAATGTGCATCACTACAAACTGAACAAAGTGGAGGAGCATCTCCAGATAAATATCAATTATTATCTTGAAAGATAATCATCATGCAACATGGGTAGCAACTCGTAGATGCTTCAAAGTTTAGACAAGTCTGCAACCTTAAAATCACCTATTCACTGAATCTTCTTAAGAATGTTGACATAAGTATAGCAAGAAAAAGACATGAAAAGCTTATGGAACCAGCAATAAGAATTGACAAATGACAAGAAATCACAATATATTTCAAACCAGTAACATAAACTTATCAGTATAATTCTCTTTCTAACTCTTCCCAATCCTAACCTCGTCTAAGCCCTCTCCGCACCCCCACCAAGACCACCCTACTGTCCCAAAATAAAAAAAGAAAAAAGAAAAAGAAGGCCATGAAACCTTCTCCCTTAGTCTTGCTTAAGTTAATAATAAAAAAAATAAAAAAAGGTTTTAGGTTAAGTATTCAAACCAAATCCATTTGCTTCTGTGTTGAGCCATTGCGGCATAGGTCTTATTGGGGTCATCATTGAGCAAGCAATGTAATTGCCTACTTGGAAAACATCAAGCAATTAACTTGGATAACCAGATATCAACTGGTCCACTGTACTTGCTGAATATGCTTCTGCTCACCTGAAAATGATTAAAATAATAGCCATAGTTTTGGAGCCCAAAAATATAAATGAAGTAAAATAGAAGTCATATGTTCTTGATTCCTTGCTTCCAAAAGGAAAACTTTCATATCATGTACTGTATTTTGACAGTCATCAAACTGGCTAACATCTGAAGTCAGAATGTCGACAGAGTGGGACATAGAATAACTTACAAGCTCCCAAGCTTCAAGATGACTTTCTGAAAAATCAAGCGATATCTTTCTGCATTATGTACGAAGAAAGAACCTAATTAATTATGTTTCTTAGTTTGATGTTACCAGCAACAGTTACTGCTAATTTTATAGGGCAACGGATTTTAGGAATCACTACAAGATTGAACTGTGTAGATACTATAGAACCATACTGATCATTTTTTTCTTTTGATAAGTAATCTGATAATTTTGTTAATCGAAGGATAATAAAATACATTTCTGTCACTGCAAAAAGAACAGACAAATAGATTTCCAGAACTTGAATGAGAACTATAGTAGCAATCAACAAAACAAGACTTCAATCCCTTGCTAAACACAAACATGCCAAAAGATAAGGACAGATGAGTCAACTTACTGGATGCTACGACGCACGTCACAGTGGTTACAGTGACCAGAGATACCATAGTCATCAAATGTAATGATCTGGAAAAAAATTCAAACAGCAATTATGTACTGCCAGATCAAGCATTTCAAAATAGAAACACAAGAACACGGTTATGAAAGCAGGACATGAAAGACCAAAAATTTGGGCCAGAAAAACCAAATGGATGTAAAAGCAAGTAGAAATTTCGATCACTAAAACCAGTTATTACTGAGTCAATAGAACGGGCACGAATTTCTTCCTCAATAAATCTTGACACAAGACTCCAATCCCACACTTTAACAAGGCCATCCTAATCACAGGAACCACATGATATAACTTTAAGTACCTCCATCTAAATGTATAGTAAAAAGAAATACAAATATGAATCAAATTTTTTAGATTCTTCGGAGAGAAATGTAAATCTGGACGGTCCAGAATCTTCAGTTGCTGGTGAGGAACCTACACAAGCAAAACAAAAGAAATGAGATATAAACTCCAATAACGAAGTCTAGTAAGAAGTCAATCCTAGTGGTACAACTTCAAGAAAACAATAAGGCAGGTTCTCAGATACAGACCATTAAGTAGATTATACACAATAAGGCTGATAGCTTACAAAAAATCATCCTGAGTATTGTTGAGGCCAGGAAGAGTTCTTTTCTGTTGCTACCCATCCCGACGTCACCTTCACAAAAAAAAAATAAAATAAAATAAAATTTCAAACTCTTAAGACAATAAACAAGATCTCAATTGAAAATAAGCAAAATAAATGAAACAACATTGAATTCCATTGATTTTCAGAAGCAGGAAATTACCCTAATGAATTGCAATACAAAAGTACATATCCAGTCTGGGATAAAATTACACATATGGCCAAACCATATCAACTTAAAAAATAAGACCCACAAAAATATTGTTTAGAAGATCAAGTGTTGTTAGACGATGTATGAGGATCTTTTTCTCATAACTATATTTTCATTTGTTAATAAAAGAAAATCTTAAGTTATCTAACAGAATTTATTTATTTTTATTTTGTTTTTTATTTTTATTTTTTTGACCTCAATTGGGACCTTTGAATAATGAACCTTGAAAGAAGTTAAGTCGACAACTTTGATGATCTCTCATCTAAGGAAGCAATGTGGTTATACAAATGATTCACATGTGTGGATATAGCTATTAACAACCCCCTCCATAAATGCCATTGCCATTTTAACTGAACACATTTAACTTAAAGATCAGCAAAAAAGGCTGTGGACTACTTGACAAGCAAAATGAAAGTATCAGCAGTATCTGCATCATCAAATATTCAAATTTTAACAGATTAATTTTCCTTCATATTGTTATCAACTGGAAATATGAATAATACCGTACATTCAAGTTCTTGAACGTAATAAAGTTGGCAATTTTCAAAACAGGTCAACTCCAGAGACCCCTGACAAAAGTGTATGATATAATGAAAAGAGAAGTCGTATGTTACAATGAAGAAAAATTCATGAACTTACAGCAGTATTATCAGTTGACAAGCATAGTATCTAAAGATTATGTCCCCGCGAAGTTAGGTAATTAATGGCTGGAGTAAAGAACCTGCAGAAATGGAATACAAGGTTTTACACAAGATTTCAATATTTATAATGTGGGTAATAAGCAACGCATGAAAATATGATACAAAGAGTGATTTTCTGAAAGGGTACAAGCCCTTTTCATTCTTAGTCTAAATCTGTCCACATTTGACTGTTTACTGTTTAGTTTCTCGTTTTCATACTGTGCAAATGATGCCAACAATTCCCACCCTGATATTGACAAGGAGCTATTTTGTTTCTTTTAATACAAAATTTTTAACAGTTAGCAAGAAACCATAGCAGACATGCTTTCTCATACAAAGACATCAACTAAGCCATTTATCAGGGTCGATTACATGGATATTTTTTCCTTGTCTTGCTAATAGAGAACTACCCCTTCTTGAAGGTTCAAAATACCAAATCTTTTGCAAATTAATTCCCAAGTTAAGGCACTAAGATTCCTATCGTTTTAATGAGAATCCACCACTGCAGCAAAGGACAAATCCAAAGAAACAAACCATTGACTTAATGAATATAGTAGGCATTTGCTATTCATACACCAGGCAGCAAAGTTCTATCTTAATGCAAACCTCAGAAAATTTTGGAATTCAAAACCTACATGGACTCATCATCAGGATGTGCAATAACCAGTAAGACATTCCTCCTGCGAAAAAACTTTCCTGGCAGCAAACAGACACACAATAAACTTGGGAGAGAAAAAAACACTTATTTAAGACAAAATGTCCATATCCATATTTACAAGAATACAGAGAAACATGATTCATTACCAACACTTAAGAATGCAGATTTGGCGTCGTGGAAGGATCCATGAACTATTTTGCAAAGAGAAGTGACCCAGAGTACAACTAATGATACAATGATGATTAGCCACGCCATGTAGATTACAGAGCCGGTCCTCCGGTTTTCGGGGCCTGAGGTGAACTCGATAAATTAGGCCCCCCAAAATCAGTGTAAATGTAAAATCCAACAGTGTATTATTATGCAACATACTGCTAACTAGGGACAGATCCAATATTGAATTCAAGACTGAGCTAAAAAATTTCAAATTGAACCAATAAGCAAAAAAAATAAATTTACACATAAAAAACTGTTTTAATGAGTTACAAAAAAGGATTTTTGGGCCTGGAGCCCCCTAAATCCGTCCCTACTCCTAATTTAAAACTTAACAATAAAATAACAAACAAATATATTAGAATTCTATTTCTAATGAATTTTAGAAAATGTAAGAATTAAGATTATTCATTTCTGAACTGTCAAAGGTTTGATTACTTTGATTTGCATTTCCATGAGAGTAAAAACTACTACCACTACGTAAATCCAAATGTTGAAGTAGAATTCTGTAAATTTTAAATTGAATAGAATAATCACTTTACCAAATAATTACTCTAGGGCCAACACTAATCGATTTCATAAAAAGTTGTAAATTACTAACAAACTAATAGAAAAACTACTGGAGTGAAACAAACATGAATAGATAAACATCTCAATTCATTTAAAGAAAGAATAAACCCACGTCTTCATTGAATACTTTTCTAATTCTATAATCACTAATAATCTATTTCATAAGAAATCCACAAATCAGTAAAGCAAAAAGTACCCGAACTGTATAGCAGAAATGAGACTATTCCCCTCCATATCACACATCAAGTGATCATCTACATAAGTCATTGAGTTTGATTGTTGAATTTGATTATTGAATTTGGAATACACAAGAAATTATAATTTTATTGATGAAATGAATTTTATACAATTTTAGACATACACCAAAAATACTAACTAAACACATTAAGACACCTCACTATGACCAATAATAATATTTTATTCACTCAACTACTTCAACAATTTCTCTCTCTCACGCACACACTACTTCTGTCTACTTGTATCTTCCACTAATTTTTCCTTTCTCTAACTATATTTTTCACAGTCAGTCTCCGTCTCTCCTCACTTTCTTTCTCCGTCTCTCCTCACTTTCTTTCCTGCTATCCTGCTCTCCACTCATTCTTCTCTCCACACACGTTCTTCACACACTTTCCACTTAAATAAAAAAAATACTGCAACACACACACACACACATAAAGAAATGCAAGGTCGGTGGCTGATGGTTCTACAGTTCTACTATGGCGGTGGAGGTGGCTGCATCAATTCTAGAACCATCCTTCAATGGCAGTAGACTTTGTTTCCAGTAAGGAATGATTTCCTGAATATTCTTCAACTTCCCAGCAGCCATAGGTAAGCTGGAGAGGAAAATGATTTCTTCATTTAATTGAAAAAAAAAGCTATGGAAACGAGGCCCCCTTCAACTTTTGGCCTGAGGCGCAGGCCTCATCCGCCTCGCCTCAGGACCGGCCATTAGAACTCTCCACGAGGAAACTATCGAGGCATTTCATCGAACAATTTAACATCCTAATTCGCTTGTTACATTCTAAACATTACTATGTAACTTCATCAATAAGCATAACATGAATGATGCTTCTTTGTGCGTTGCGCTCGTGTTGGTTTATAGTCATACAAGCAAACATTTCGATTCATCGATCTGTTAAAATGTCGTATTGATAGGTCCA